ATGACCAAATTCACCCATTTGGTGTTTTGTTGACCTCGATACACCCCAAATGACCTAACTCACTCATTTGTAGTTTTGTCGACCTCGACCCACCCCAAATGACCTAACTCACTCATTTGGTGTTTTGTCGACCTCGATCCACCCCAAATGACGTAACTCACTCATTTGTGGTTTTGTCGACCTCGACCCACCCCAAATGACCTAACTCACTCATGCATCAAAGTCTTGAACACAACAACAAGCATCATAAGAACCATCATCAACAACAGAGAAGCAAATCACCATAACAACCAACACGCATGCATAAAAATCTTGAAGCAATGATCATAACAAGCATCATAAGAATCATCATAAGAACCATCATCAACAACAATAGAGAAGCAATGATCATAAAAACTAGCACTCATGCATCATAGTCTTCAACACAACCATAAAATAGATATCTTACAACCATAAATAGTTCAACATAACCATAAATAGTTCAACCATCACCAGTTCCAGAGTTCCAAACAGTACTATGCCAACATAGGCAACATGGTTCATAATGTTTTTACCATCAACAGGTCACCACAAACGTACCTGCTTCCCTTAGAACAATTGAACCACTCAGACATATTAAAAGATGGTTTTCTGACTCTTCCAGTACCTGCTGGTCTTGGAGGCAAGAAGTTTTTCTTTTGCCTAGCAGCAACAGCAGTAGTAGAGGTACTTGGCCCAGCAGCTGTAGAGGAACTGGGCCCAGCAGAAGATGCACTAGTAGTAGCTGCCCTTGGAGCTCTCCTGGATGCAGGAGGAGCTGATGGAGCTTTGCTTGCAGCTGGTGTATCTCTTGTGGGTGCCCTTGGAGCAGGAGGAGCTGATGGAGCTATCCTTGGTACTGCTGGTGTAGCTCTTGTTGGTGCCCTTGGAGCAGGAGGAGCTGATGGAGCTTTGGTTGGTGTTTCTGTTGTTGGTGCCCTTGGAGTTGTCCTAGCTGATGCAACAACTCTTCTATTTTCCTGGAATTACAACATAGATAGATTACAAGATAGGAAACTTGCATAAACATAGAGAGATTACAAGATAGTCACAAAGTTACCATATGCTGGTCTTCTCATTGCCAGAGCTAGCTTAAGAGTCTTGTGGAAGTTAGTGTACCTATGCCCAGCCAGGTTGCAATTGCTACAAGTGATTGTGCCCATCCTAGAAGTATCCCTGGGAGCTGGCTTCTCAAACCTACTCTTCCTCCTCTTAGTTTGTTTCTTTCCTGGCTTTTCTTTGAAAACTGGTGGCTCTATGTCAGAGGTACCAGTCTTTCCATAGATCAGGCCTAGGCACAGGGTAAACTACTGCACTGTAGGCTGCTTGGTACATGGGTTTCTTGAAAAAAACATTGACAACATCGTCTGGATGTAATTTTGCCTTGTTGATTGCAGAAACTGAATGATTGCAAGGAACCCCTATCATGTCCCATTTCCTACAACCACATGTGTGTGCTTGCAAATTAATTGCAAGGATGTGCCCTCAAATGCTTTGTTGTAACAATGCATCTACTTCCTGGATTGGTATCCAATACAGCTTGGAGGTAATCCCTTATCCTTGTATACTGTGCCTTTTGATCTCCTTGGACCACACTCTTAGCAACTTTCCTTGCTTTGTAGGCCATGTGAATGGACACTTCTATGCCATGTTTCTGCTTCAAATTCTCAATTATGGATTGGACTGGTGTGTTAATGTCTGCCCTCAACTGTTGCTCACACTCATGTGCCAACCACTTGGCAGTTACTTTGGTGCTCTCTCCTACTGCAGCACAATTGTGGTACAGGTTCATTTTCTTTATGAAAAATGTCTTCTCATGTGTTATCCGAGAGGCTGCAATGAAAAAAGGACACTCTGCACTACTGCAAACTGCAATAACCCTATCAGACCAATTCCTATGAAAGGAATAGTTTCTATTCTGTGAGATGTGGAATGTTTGAAGTGCCCTCCTGAATTGGCTCACATCTAGGAAACATAGTTTCTTCACAAATTGCTCATGTGCGTTCTCTCTCTTCTCATCATACCAAACCGTTGGTTTCTTCTTCTTGGCCCTACTCTTCCTACCACCTGGAATCTTAAAAGCTGGTGCCTGAGCCCCATCATTGTCTTGCTAGCTTAAGTCACCTGGATTGCTCTCCTCGTCAGAGGAAGAGTACCAGTCCTCTTCTATAATTTGATCTAAACTTGCATGAGATCTGGTTGTTGGCCCCTTTCTCTTACTGCCTCCTGTGCTGCTTCCTCCTGTAGTGTTTCCTCCTATGCTGCTATTCACTGCTGCCTCCTGCTCTGCTGCTTCATCAACTCCCTCCTCCTCATCTGGTTCATATAGCTCTTCAACATCTGTGTCACCTTCAAAGTGGTTGAGTGGATCATGTCTATGCCTCTTCATTGCCTGTAGCCTAGCAATTATATCCTCATCTGCTGGAATCTCACTATCAGTATCACTTTCAGTACAATCTTCAGCAAGCAACTCTGGAAGTTTCCTTTTAGCTGCTATGTATTTCTCTTTTCTTTTCTTATTGCTCTTGAACTTCTCAATCTATTTATTCCTATTCTCCTCCATCTGTTGCTCTATTTGCTCTTGCTCCTGATCAATGTCCATGAAATACTCATGCCTCTCCTCACCATTGTCCACTACAAATTCTGGTTCAATGCTATCATGTGTGTGCATGACTTGGACTGGCTCTGGCTGTGGCTTCACTGGACAAGGGAAAAGAACTCCAGATGTATCTATCTCATACACAAGTGGCACACCTATTTCAGAAAAGGAACCTGGTCTTCATACACAATGCCTCTGTTTCAAATCAGCTAGTGTTGGAGCATCACTTCTCATTACTGTAATATTAACCACAGTTTTTCCTTTACTAGCTAGCTCATCCAACATCTCCTCCACCTTGTCATCATCTGTTAACTCTACCATTCCTGACACCCCAACACCTGGATCTCTGACATAATACATATAATCTCTACAAGAATAGCCTTCTACCTCTACAAGTGCAACTAGAATCCAGAAAGTTATGTCTGACAGGCTTATATTTCTTTCCAAGTTATCTCTGTCAAAGAAATGAAATCTGACTTCCTAGACTTCATCATCCAAATTACAAACAAAATTACAGTAAACTATTCAGTAAAAAGTTACTTTAAATGTTATATTCAAAGTTCAGTTAAAAGATTATTTATAAATGTAGTTACAAGTTAAGTCAAATATTCAGTTACAAGTTAAGTTAAATGCCAAAAAATTAACACTTCAGACAAATGTTCAGTTAACAGATAAGTTAACACTTCAGTAAAATTCAATTCACAAATGTTTAATTACTAATTCAACTAAAACAGTAAACTTAACACTTCAATTAACTAAAAATTCAGACAAATGAGCAAACTAAACACTTCAGTTTGCTGAATATTCAAACAAATGTTCAATTAACAGATAATTTAACACTTCAGTAAGATGTTCAATTAACAAGTGTTCAGTTACTAGTTCAACTAAAACAGTAAACTTAACACTTCAATACCCTAAATATTCAGACAAATGTTCATTTAAATATTCAGACAAAATTTCTGTTAACATATATAAAGTTTTAGTTAATCCAAGAACACTAACGCAGGAACACCAGCCCTAGAACCCTAACACAGGAATAGTAGCCCTAGAACACTAACCCTACAACCCAACCAGACGAACACCAGCCCTAGAACCCTAACCCTAGAAACCTAAACTACAAACTCAATCTAGAAAAAAGAAAGAATGCGGATGCATTACTTACCAGACGCCACCGAACGAGGATGCCTAGTTTTGACTGCCCGTCAGATCTTCCTTCACAGCTCGGGCGAACACGGCGGCCGCCGCAGATTCAACTGATAGGTTTGCCACCGGCAGTTGGGGAGGAAGCTGCGCCTGAGATGGATTTGTGCTACCACAGAACTCCGGTCAGCACCACACCTAGCATCAGCAGTGCCTCCATCGCGGGATTTCGCCGTCGCCATGAGTGGGAGTATGAAGGACGAAGAGAGAGTGCGGGCGAGATAGTGAGAGAGCTGGTGCGGTCGGGCGAGCCGACCGCGTCGATTTGACCAGGTAGTGAGTAACGGCACCGTCTGCCTCGCCGTTATGCCATGTCACCTGTTTTGGGTCCCACCTATCAGAAACACCCTCAAAGGCTGCAAACCAAGCGATCAGTGCTTTTTGCAAAAAGTTTACCGAATGCGTTGTGCTTTTTGCAAATGATTAGGGACCTGGTGGTTTTCTGCAGAAGAAGCCCCAAATGTGGTGGTTTTTTGCAATTACCTCCGGCATGAGAGAAAACCCTAATCAACGGATCGAGAAGAAGACTATCTAGGGAAGCTGGTCAACACGATAGGCGGACGAACCCTAGGTACGGGCGGCGCGGCCACCGGCGGCGGTCATGGAGGCTGACCTCCATGGGGGCGGCGTGCGGAGCGGAAGCAGGGGACGGCGGCCAGGGTTTGGATCGGTTAGGCTGATACCATGTTAGGAGGGAGAGAGAGTTTAGCGGAATATTTGTTGTTTTGCTTGAGCTTCGTGGGCATATATATAGGAGTACAATGACAAACTTGGAGTACAAGACAAGGCAGGAACAAATCCTAGTCTATCATATACTTCCTAATATACATTATACTCAACACTTGGACTTGCAACTCTGGGAGCCTAACCCTTTACATTAACTTAAAAAACTTGCAACCGGCTACAAATTGCACAATCATGCAATTAACTAGTTAAAAGTTGGTAGTACCCTAACTCTCACACGAGGAGGTTCTTTGCCCTTCCATTCCATGGAGTGGTACTCGTACTCAAGTTCAGATGATCAACAGCAGCGAACCACACCATGCATCAGCTCCCAAAAAAATTCCTCTCAACAACTTTTTCTGAGACTAACTGGCTGATGGTATGACTGATTTGATTTACCTTTTTTTGAGACAATTTGATTTACCTAACTGTTAGCGAGGTGGGCGAGGCGGGCCGGCCTACACCTTGATAAAAGTATGATACGGGCTCTGCACAGCCCGGCCCGCGAGCGCGTCACAGAGCTTCATGTCCTTGAGGGCAGGGTCCTCAAGGAGCAGCACCTTATCCTTGTCCCTCACCCCAACCATGTGGAGGTGGTCGCTGTCCTCCTTCTCCTTGCCCCTGAAGAGCAGCCTCTGCTCCCTCGGCTCCAGCCCCGTTACCATGGACACTACCACCTTCAGCTCACCTGCACAAATAAATTTCAAAACACATATTAGACCTTGATCAAATCCGCCTATGTTGTCTCAACATAGCCGGTCCCAAGCCCAGGTAAAGGAGGAGGGTTGGGATAGGCTTGGCGAGCCAATGTAAAAACTCAGCCACTCTTATGGAGATGAAACCCAAAAGATTTTCGTTGGGGCGTAACCCTCTCAGCGACGTGCTACATCGGAACCCGGGTGTGGTGGAAAATGGGCAAGGGCCGGGCCGTCACCCTAAAGGTGGCGCGTTGTATCTTGATCCGGATACAGTGGCAAGTGAGCGAGGATCGGGTCATCGCATCCTTAGTGGCGCGCTACATCGGCGCCCGGATGTAGTGGAAAATGGGCAAGGGTCTTCGCATTTGACTCGACGAGTGCGAAGGGTAAGGAAGCTAGCCGAGCCTAGGAGGATTCACTTAGGTAGCTGGAACGTAGGGTCTCTGACAGGGAAGCTTCGGGAGCTAGTTGATGCAGCGGTGAGGAGAGGTGTTGATATCCTTTGCGTCCAAGAAACCAAATGGAGAGGACAGAAGGCGAAGGAGGTGGAGGATACCGGCTTCAAGCTGTGGTACACAGGGACGGCTGCAAACAAAAATGGCGTAGGCATCTTGATCAACAAGAGCCTCAAGTATGGAGTGGTAGATGTCAAGAGACATGGGGACCGGATTATCCTGGTCAAGCTGGTAGTTGAGGACTTGGTTCTCAATGTTATCAGCGCGTATGCCCCGCAAGTAGGCCACAATGAGAACACCAAGAGGGAGTTCTAGGAAGGCCTGGAAGACATGGTTAGGAGTGTACCGATTGGTGAGAAGCTCTTCATAGGAGGAGACCTCAATGGCCATGTGGGTACATCTAACACAGGTTTTGAAGGGGCGCACGGGGGCTTTGGCTATGGCATCAGGAATCAAGAAGGAGAAGATGTCTTAAGCTTTGCTCTAGCCTACAACATGATTGTAGCTAACACCCTCTTTAGAAAGAGAGAATCACATCTGGTGACTTTTAGTAGTGGCCAACACTCTAGCCAGATTGATTTCATCCTCTCGAGAAGAGAAGATAGGCGTGCGTGCCTAGACTGTAAGGTGATACCTGGAGAGAGTGTTGTACCCCAGCATAAGCTGGTGGTTGCTGACTTCCGCTTTCGGATTCGTGTCCAGCGGGATAAGCGTGCCAAAGTTGCTAGAACGAAGTGGTGGAAGCTCAAGGGGGAGGTAGCTCTAGCGTTCAAGGAGAGGGTCATTAAGGAGGGCCCTTGGGAGGAAGGAGGAGATGCGAACAATGTGTGGACGAAGATGGCGACTTGCATTCGTAAGGTGGCCTCGGAGGAGCTTGGAGTGTCCAGGGGAAGGAGAAGCGAAGATAAGGATACCTGATGGTGGAATGATGACGTCCAGAAGGCGATTAAAGAGAAGAAAGATTGCTTCAAACGCCTATACCTGGATAGGAGTGCAGACAACACAGAGAAGTACAAGATGACGAAGAAGGCCGCAAAGCGAGCTGTTGGTGAAGCAAGGGGTCGGGCATATGAGGACCTCTACCAACGGTTAGGCACGAAGGAAGGTGAAAGGGACATCTATAAGATGGCCAAGATCCGAGAGAGGAGGACGAGAGATATTGGCCAAGTCAAATGTATCAAGGACGGAGCAGGCCAACTCTTGGTGAAGGACGAGGAGATTAAGCATAGATGGCGGGAGTACTTCGACAAGCTGTTCAATGGGGAGAATGAGAGTTCTACCATTGAACTGGACGACTCCTTTGATGAGACCAGCATGCGTTTTGTGCGGCGAATCCAGGAGTCTGAGGTCAAGGAGGCTTTAAAAAGGATGAAAGGAGGCAAGGCGATGGGCCCTGATTGTATTCCCATTGAGGTGTGGAAAGGTCTCGGGGACATAGCGATAGTATGGCTAACCAGGCTTTTCAACCTCATTTTTCGGGCAAACAAGATGCCAGAAGAATGGAGACGGGGTATATTAGTACCAATCTTCAAGAACAAGGGGGATGTTCAGAGTTGTACTAATTACCGTGGAATTAAGCTGATGAGCCATACAATGAAGCTATGGGAGAGAGTCATTGAGCACCGCTTAAGAAGAATGACAAGCGTGACCAAAAATTAGTTTGGTTTCATGCTTGGAAGGTCGACCATGGAAGCCATTTTCTTGGTATGACAACTTATGGAGAGATATAGGGAGCAAAAGAAGGACTTGCATATGGTGTTCATTGACTTGGAGAAGGCCTATGATAAGATACCGCGGAATGTCATGTGGTGGGCCTTGGAGAAACACAAAGTCCCAGCAAAGTACATTACCCTCATCAAGGACATGTACGATAATGTTGTGACAAGTGTTCGAACAAGTGATGTCGACACTGATGACTTCCCGATTAAGATAGGACTGCATCAGGGGTCAGCTTTGAGCCCTTATCTTTTTGCATTGGTGATGGATGAGGTCACAAGGGATATACAAGGAGATATCCCATGGTGTATGCTCTTTGCGGATGATGTGGTGCTAGTTGACGATAGTCGGACGGGGGTAAATAGGAAGTTAGAGTTATGGAGACAAACCTTGGAATCGAAAGGGTTTAGGCTTAGTAGAACTAAAACCGAGTACATGATGTGCGGTTTCAGTACTACTAGGTGTGAGGAGGAGGTTAGCCTTGATGGCCAGGTGGTACCTCAGAAGGACACCTTTCGATATTAGGGGTCAATGCTGCAGGAGGATGGGGGTATTGATGAAGATGTGAACCATCGAATCAAAGCCGGATGGATGAAGTGGCGCCAAGCTTCTGGCATTCTCTGTGACAAGAGAGTGCCACAAAAGCTAAAAGGCAAGTTCTACAGGACGACGGTTCGACCCGCAATGTTGTATGGCGCTGAGTGTTGGCCGACTAAAAGGCGACATGTTCAACAGTTAGGTGTGGCGGAGATGCGTATGTTGAGATGGATGTGTGGCCACACGAGGAAGGATCGAGTCCGGAATGATGATATACGAGATAGAGTTGGGGTAGCACCAACTGAAGAGAAGCTTGTCCAACATCGTCTGAGATGGTTTGGGCATATTCAGCGCAGGCCTCCAGAAGCTCCGGTGCATAGTGAACGGCTAAAGCGTGCGGAGAATGTCAAGAGAGGGCGGGGTAGACCGAATTTGACATGGGAGGAGTCCGTTAAGAGAGACCTGAAGGATTGGAGTATCACCAAAGAGCTAGCTATGGACAGGGGTGCGTGGAAGTTTGCTATCCATGTGCCAGAGCCATGAGTTGATTGCGAGATCTTATGGGTTCCATCTCTAGCCTACCCCAACTTGCTTGGGACTAAAGGCTTTGTTGTTGTTGTTTTGTATATTAGACCTTGATCCAATAAAGTGTACTTGGTTTATATTCAGTGATTGCTTTGTATTACTCCCTCTGTCTCAAAATATAAGAACGTTTTTGACATTAGTATAGTGTAAAAAACGTTCTTATATTTTGAGATGGAGGGAGTAGCAAACAAGGTGGAGGAAATTTGCACTCAGGTTCCTACTCTGAACCATCGTGTGTACATTATTTAGTGATAAAAACACAATGAGCTTATGCTTTGTAGTAAAAAACTCTGAACGATCGTGTGCACGCTGTCACAGCAGGAAGCCTGCCACATTGCAAGTCGTTGTTCAGACATGTCCGTGCATTTTCTTGAAAAACAATTTCAAGGACAACTCCATGATCTAGTAAGGAGAGGGTGGAGCTGTGAGGAAGGAGAGGGTGGCACAACACTGATCCTTGTCACCAGTTGTTTTATTACAGAAGCAAGGAGGAGACCTTGCTAATGGACATGCATATCTCCCAAGTGATATCTCCATATCACCTTGCGAAGGTTCAGGAGCTCAGTATTCAGTAATACTATACACAAGACGGAACTAGCCAGCTAGGCACCATAGTTGCTGTGAATCTACATGTACTACTACATGTTCTTGTAAAAATGCTCCTTAACTAGTTTCAGTGTTCAGTGAGACGTTGCGCAAGATGGAAGTACTGTGAATCTACATGTACATGTTCGCAAAATAAAAATAATTCTACATGTACAGACTGGTTGCACAGTGAAACAACTGAACTAGCATTGTTGAACTTGTCTGAAAATTCGAAGTTTATCGTGCCTAACACAAGTGAATCATGTAAGGGAGTGCCATTGTGCATGGATGCCACACCCACGATCACTCCTCAAGCTTTTATCGTGCGTAAGCTTGGGGTATATTCATTCAACTTTGACGACATAAAGATGTGCTTAGTACTTTAGTATGTGAGGGAAGCCCCGAAAGGAATCATGACCAAATGAACCACCTTCCAAGAACACATACATTCTACTATAATCACACACTAGTCACATTCATATATTCTCAAAAAAATATCAAATCAGCTTTGCAAGGACTAGAGTACTCACCAAAGGTGCAGGTGGCTCCAATGGAGACCTCGTGCCAGGAGTAGCCGGTGGCCACCCTGACGGTGATGATCTCGACGTCCCCCCTCCCGTCCCTCCTCTGCACCAGCATGCCCCCCGGCCGCACCTCCCACTCGATCTCTCCGCTGCCGCCGCCACCACGGATGCCACCGGAGGCATCGCTGCCGTTGTCGCTGCTGCTCCTGCTGCTGCAGCTGCTACTAGACCTGCTGATCTTGGAGGAGCTCCTCCTGAAGAGCCTCTTGGGGTTGGGGCACCTCAGCTTCATCATCGTCGTAAATTGGATGGCTCTGCTGTTGTTCCTTGCAGTTGGTGTTGAGGCAGTTAAGCTGGTGGTTTTTTTTTTTTGGAAAAGGGGCGCAGCCCAGCATCTGCATCAGAAAGAAGTTATAGGAACAGGGCTTTGCTGTGTATATATAGGAGGCGAGCTAGGTATAGGGATCAAAGGCGTCAACGTAGGGGACACTGCGACAGGCGAACTTGGCACAGTCCAAACTCCAAAGCCGCAAGAGCTTGCGAAAGTGTTCCTCGACAGAAGGAA